ACCAAATGTTCAAAAGTGCCCTGAGGTAGACAACTGACGGCACATTTTAAAAAGTCTCCTTCAAAATAAAAGTAAAGGCTAGGTGTGGAGGCGGCACAGGCTTGCCATCTGGGGTACTCAGGAAGAGGCATGGGTTTTGTGCATCGTCTTGTTCCCAGCTTTCTAGCTTGTCAGCTCATCCGATCTCAGCTCCACAGATAATCTGACCACTTACTCTACTTCAGAATTAATACAGATGCTTTGCTGTGGCATGCTGTTTTAAGGAACAGTTAACATATTCTGTACAATAAAACCTGCACACCATTTAATAGGGCTGGGCAGGCCCCTGACAGTCTGCCTCTCAGATGACTCTGATGCTGTGGTGGCCCTGCTGTTCTGCAGACCTTGCTTTGGGAGCCAGATCTTGCTCTCCCTCCCCACCATTCCACTCCCCCTCCCCTTTTCCCCACCCACTCAGGTCTGTGTGAGAATGCGTGCTTCAAACACGGCCAGTGAGGACAAAGGAGAGCGCTTACTAGTACCAACATTTAATGCTCATAACACTATTGGGTAGGTGGCATTCTATTTCTGTTTACAAGGAAACTGTGGCACGGGAAGATTAAAGAACTTATTTCAGGCCACCCAACTGGGCACTGTAGTTTTTAGAGTCTACACCCAACCTGCTGTGCCAAAGGTTCTCCAAACAGAGGTTATAACCAGGTCGCCTGCTAGACTTGTGGAAACAGGCTAGTTTCCACCCCAGTTTCTGATTCTATAGGTTTGAGGTGGATGCTGAGAATTTATGTCCTAAAACAAAAAATATCAGGTGACATTAACGCTCCTGGTTCCATGGGGATGCTTTGAAAGGCACTATGTTATGCCGGAAGATTGTAATGGCTAAAACTCGCCCCTCATGTTACATGAGTGACATACAGGTAATCGCTCAGAACTCGACATGCTCGTCACCCTTTTTAAGCCTCTCAGTAGTCTACTAATCTATTATCTCCATTTTGCAAGTAGATTAATTGAAGCATAAAGAACTCTTTTTAAAAATTTATTTATTTATTAAAGATTTCTGCCTCCTGTCACCGCCTCCCATTTCCCTCCCCCTCCCCAAATCAAGTCCCCCTCCCTCATCAGCCCAAAGAGCAATCAGGATTCCCTGACCTGTGGGAAGTCCAAGGACCACCCACCTCTATCCAGGTCTAGTAAGGTGAGCATCCAAACTGCCTAGGCTTCCCCAAAGCCAGTACGTGCAGTAGGATCAAAAACTCATTGCCATTGTTCTTGAGTTCCCAGTAGTCCTCATTGTCCACTATGTTCAGTGAGTCCGGTTTTATCCCAGGCTTTTTCAGACCCAGGCCAGCTGGCCTTGGTGGGTTCCCGATAGAACATCCCCATTGTCTCAGTGTGTGGGTGCACCCCTCGCGGTCCTGAGTTCCTTGCTTGTGACAACGGTCAGTGAGCTGTCAAGTCACAAAGTACTTGCCCCCCAGTGATAGATAATTACTATACCCCGCAGTCTGTCACAGAGATGGTTATCTTCACGATGCCTTGAAGAGGACTCATTTTGTGTGTGGATGGGGAGAGGAGGGCTGAAGAAGCTGCTCTCCTCACAAAGTCCACAGACAAGTGTGTGAGACTAACCATGTAGACAGTAACCTAGCCAGGTAAAGAGACCTTTGTCCTTTTGGCCCCGGGATGTCCTAATCCCAACACAAGAGGCAAGAATCTTGAAGGAGAAAGAACGCAATGAAGGCAATTTTATGGGATGAGCCTGGAGTTGAGTCTTGGTTAGTTGCTGAGAGGGACAGATCTCAAGATCTGAGCTTGGGAACACTTTGAGAGGTTTGGCCCTCGAGTGGGTCATCCTGAGGCCAGACAGTGCAAGGAAGGTGCAGCCTCTGCAGCTCTGACCACACTCTGGCCAGTTCCTACCCTTCAACCCCCATCCCTGGTTCTTAGAATGGCTTCATTGACTAAACTGCGTGAAAAGACCCTAAGTCCCCATGATACCTAACTTCTATGATGTCATAAAGAATGAATGCACTGGTCACTTTGTTTTCTTATCTAGATCTGTGTTTAATAAATTCTAAATGACAAATTATTCAAAATAAGTTATATTCCTAACATAGCTTACATTTTTGCCACTTTACTAAAATGAACTTTTCCTCCGGATGTCATGCCAGTGACTGTGCCTTTGTGGTCATACAGCCTTCATCTCCTTTTCCTCTTTTCTTACTCTTCGCTTCTTGTTTTGAATATTGTGAGTCCTACTGCCGTATGAAAGTAGAAGGGAAGTTACGCAGGCTACATCTGCCTCCTGAAAAGGTAGACTGGCTCTGAGTCTGTCCGGTTGCTTTCAGTGGTGAGATCCCAGAGACGGGAACAAAACTCAGCAAGTCTTTGAGTTTATCCCAGGCCTTATTTTCATTTTAACTTGAGGGCAGAGAATTTAATTTCTAGTATGTGCTACTGTCTGAAATCAATTTTAAAAAAAAACAACTTTTAAATTAAACATGTAAAACTGGATGATGGTTTAGTGGGGAAAGGACTTACCACCAAGCCCGACGACCCGAGTTCGATTCCCAGGGCCCACAGGAAAAACAAAAGACTCTTGTGGGTTGTCCCTGGACCCCCACACATGCACTGTGCCATACATGCCTCCCCCCAAATGCAATAAAAATAATTTTTAAAAACTCATTTTTAAACATTTAAAGTGGATACTTCAAAGGTATTTTAAATTTACCTGGAGGAGAGAAAATCCATATGACATCTCTTTAAAATGACACTAGCTCCAGCCAGCACTTCTTTCCTAGGCTTTGTCCTTGTTGCTCCTTCCACCTCAGCAAGGTCTTCTCTTGCCATGCACATGTGTATTCTCCAGTTCAGACACCACCTGGGCAGAGGATTTCCCTGCTTGGCCAAGCTACCCACCCCCAACATTTGCAATGCTCCTTATTTCTCTTCATAGTCATTTCCATTGGCATGGTTCTATTGCTTTCTCTGGTTTTTCCCATTAGCATGTAATCTCCATGGAAAACTGTTCCGCTCCCTGCAATAGCCTTGTACTGCCAATAGTCCGTGATGTGGAAAACCAGCAAAGATCAGATGCACAATGAATGAATCTGATTTTCAAAGTTCACTGAATTTCTAAGTAGTTTTCTTATGCACTAACATCATTCTCCTCTATAAAGATTCATTGACACATGTTAATGTGTACACATATATACACACATACGCATACATGTGTGTATGTATATATATAGTTATATATATAAATTATATAATTTAAGTCCTATCTTTACCTCTTCATACCTGGTTGGGTATGAGCTTCATCTTGTGAACCTGACAGCCTATGGCCTTTATCGATGACTAAAGTCCAACAATAACGACAACAACAACAAAAATAGATTCTATATATAAAGACTGTCTTAGCCCATTTACTGTGTTTAATGGTACAATACCACTGGCTGGGTAAGTTTAAAGAAAGAGGTCTAATTTGGCTATGGTTCTAGGTCAAGGGAACACATTTGGTAATGGTCTTGCTGGCGGAGACCAGAAAAGGAGCGAGTCTCCTCTGGTCTCTCTTACAAAGCCACTAAGTCGTAATTAGGAGGGCTCCAACTTGATGGTCTCATTTCATCTTACTTAGCTCTGAATGGCCCCACATACAAACACTAGCAGGGTTAAGTTCTGTCCTGACAGTTCCACAGTGGCAATTCAATTTCAGCCCCTGGACCTTTGAGGGTACTCTTGACGCATAGCCAAGATTCTCCGAGCATGCCACCTTTAGTGCCATGCATGTGCATATGGTACGAAACCAAGCAGGGCTAATCATGGAGATTAATTTTCAAACCATCATGATCTAAGGTAGACTTTATTTCCTCAGGTCAGTGAAAAAACAAAACAAAACAAAACACCAAGTCCCAGGATTTTGGATTGCTGACCCAAACAGATTTTCAGAAACTTAGCAAATCCAGAGATGCTAACCATTCCATTTCCATGCTTAAACAAAACCACTTCTCCCTTTACGTTTCAAGCCTGTCATCCCTGTTCGTAAAACATCACAAGTCTCAAGTCATATAACGTGGCTCACAAGGGCACCAAGCACCTATTCATTTGTTGTCTTTATGGGTTGTTTTCCTTTTCTAACTTTCCTTGGAAAACTGTTCCAACTGCATTATACAACAGAGTTAAAGATGGCCAATAATTGGTATGGGATGTACACGAAAAAAGTTCCTAAATCTGTTATGGGGATATCTTACTGACTTAAATATGGTTTTAAAAAGGAAAAAAAAAGATTTTTTTACGTGTAAAATGTTGACTAATAAAGGCTTTCTAATCTAACGAAACCTTTTAAGAGTCTGCCCTTATATAACCATGACTCCTTCAAATCAAGTCGTTAAGTCTCATTTCCAGAATAAGAACAGAATTATGCAGAATGGAACTAAACTTTTTTTTTTATGTTTTTTTCGAGATAGGGTTTCTCTGTAGCTTTGGAGCCTGTCCTGGAACTAGCTCACGTAGACCAGGCTGGCCTCGAACTCAAAGATGTGCTGGGATTAAAGGCGTGCGCCACCACCGTCCGGAGTAACTCAACCTTTTAACTCCTAGTACAATTAATGCATTCTTTTTATGGTTGAAGGAAGTTTAGTCCAGAAAATTAACCCCAAGGTCAAGCTGATAGAAATTAAAAGAGCATTAAGACACTGCCTTCTCTGCGCAGGAAACTAGCAAACAATCCGCTGTCACTCAGAACAAATTGCTGTCGCGCCTCCCCCAGTGCTAAATCGTGCTTCCAACCTGCCTAACTCAAAACCTGTCCAAACCTCCAGGTAGCGAATGATTACCCTGAAGCCAAACCCAGGGTTCCGGTCTTCGCTGACTTCCCTCTCCCGCCCCAAACCGCACTACCTCCGTGCGGGTCGCTAGGCAAATCCCCAGAGCTGCCCGAAGTCTCGCGGGAGTACAGCCGTTGCCCCGGCAACAAGCGCCCGCTCTCCATGGAGGGCGTGGCTGCGGCCGCTGAATTACGATGGCGTCTCCTCTGGCTCGGTCGTCTCCGGCTGTCTAGGGGGCGTCCTGAAGTACTCTCCCGGCAAGGGTGGAACGACCGAGGGGGCGAGGCGGGCGGCAGAGGCGCCGCTTAGGCAGGGGAACGCGAGCAATGCGCCCGGCGGCGCGGGGCGGCGCGGGGCCGGAGTGAGTGTGCGAGGGGGGCGGGTTCGGCGTGGCCCTGCGGTCCACCCCACCGAGAAGGCCTGGCGCGGCCTCACGCCTCCTCGTTCGCCGCCTCTGCAGGCACCCGGGGGCAGCAGGCTTCAAGCCCCCAGCGCTAGCCCGCTTCGGCCATGCAGGAGACGGCCGCCGGGTGCCTGCAGGCGGGTTGTCCCTGTTTCGAGCTGTCATCCGGGGCTGGAGCGTCAGCCTCCGCCCTGACATGTCATCTAGAAACAGATTTCTTGGTGGTGGTTGTTGTTTATGTTGAAGCTTGCGAGGCTTTCTTGTGCGGTCAGCGCCCCCAAACACGCTCTTTTCTAAACAACTCAAACAAGGGTTGTGAAGTGTGGTCAGTTGCGTGCCGTCCACGCTCCTGAACTCTTGTTTCTATAGGTAACATAAACCAGTAGTTGTGAAATTGGGAGATCCCTTTGCTAGCCTCCAAAGTGTAAAATCTTGGCAAGGATTTTCGCTCATTCAGTTGCTTGGGAACAGGTTTGGCTGGAAGCAACAGTGTTCATCTCCCAACAGAACCTTTTGATAGAATCTTTGATAGAATGCTAATAATTTAATTAAGTTAACTATACAGTAAATGATCAGAATTAAAGAGAAACTCAAGTGTTAGACACTGAAGCTTTTGAGTCATTGAAAGTTAAGGAGGAAGGGAAAAAATTTAAACTATTGCTACATTATATTACTAATCATACTTTTTCTTGCTGTCTAATTTTAATGCCTGAAGATAATCCTGAATTTACTGTAGTTCTGTAGTGTTTATAGATATAACGTGTAAATGGCTTGGGTATGTACCGTGAAAATTTTTCAACTAAATTATTTACATGATTTGTCTATTTTTTAAAAAGACTTCTTCAGTTTTATTTTTCTTCATAAAACATACTAACAGGTTATAAATTTAGCTGGCCCTCTCCATCTCCTCCCAGATTCACCTTCCTGGTCCCTGTCCACTCATCTTTGGTTTTCATTTTGATTGTTTTATTTAATTAAAATATTGTTACCTTATTTACTCCCCTTCCAATATTCTCAGAACCATCGCCTCTCATTATTATCCTTATGTGTGTGTGCAAAGAATGCAGAAATGCCAACTGTATGAGTCTGTTGAATGTTGCTCATATGCATAGATTTATAGAACTGACCATTTGGTGTTGTATAACCAGTTAGTGGGCTTGGGCTTGTCCTTATTGGAATACTGATAATTTCTTCAAATCTTTGAAATTGTAATTATTTCCTGTCTCCTTGTTAATTTAGATTTTAGAGCTCTGTCACTGTTAATTAAATACAGTTGGATGTGTTTGGAGTAGTCAGCTAATGTAGAACACCTAGGCTTAAGAGAAAAGCCGCCCGATAGTTTCCTTAGAACTTCTACAGCCTCCCCACATACTAAGTGAAAGTTCAAGGCAGACACTAGGAGAGATGTCAGAAGACTCGGAGGAGGAAGACTATTCAGACAGAAGTATCAGCGATGATGATGAATCGGTATGTCTTTCTTTACATAATTTGAAATAAAATGTATTGTTAAGCTTATATTCCCAATTAAAACACGGTAGAATTAATGTGATCTAAAACTAAACTAAAGGATGATGTCATTGTCTTGAAGGTTAGAAAAAAGCTTGACTGAAAAACTTATTGTGTAATATATCCCATCTAAAAAGATATCTTGAAGAGACTATGAACCTGAAAGTGTGGAGGGGAATGGGAAGGATTGGAGGGAGTGATTTTTCTTGAGAAAATACTTGGATAAGATTATTCAGGATTTTATTACAATTTATGTATGTATTTTTAGGGATTTTATTTTTCCAATCCATATCTACTTAATTCCTTGTGCTGATCATGTTACAGCATACTATGCCCCATACTAGAACCACTGGGGTTCCAGCCAGTGATCGCGTGCTTCACCACAGTACAGCAGTGTGGCTGGTAACAGAGAACAGGGAAGGGGGTGGAACTGGACTGAAAATGCGTGTCTGTTCCTGCAACCTTCTCTAAGATGTTCCCTTTTAAAGTATAAATTAGAATATGTTTAAAGTCCCAAAATCTTTCCAAAATGATAGACAGTTCTCTAAGTCCATACTTTTCTTTTTTTCTTGAGTTCTCATTCTCCAGCTGTTTTCCCAAGTGTTCCAAGACTTTAAATGTTATTCCTTCTCTGCAGTCATTATTATGGTCATAACCTGTGGAAGAGGAGGAATAAAGATGCAGATTTTAAGGTTCCAGCGGATTGGAATTACTGCTTTGGAGTCAGAATATAAATCAAATAATCGTTGGAGTCTTTCATTTATTAAAGATTAAAGACAATCCCAAGTATTAAAGTTGATGTTAAACAAAACTCCAAGTTTTGATATTATTGGTCCTTAAGTTTTAAAACTCCTTTGTTTCAGGATGAGGTTGCGTTTGTGAAATTTGTAAGCGATGATATCCATCGGTGTGCACTGCTAGCAGGTTTGAGCCCATCTATTTGTACTTTCCTCCTTCTATCGTGGAACCTTAAGTGGATAAGAAGTAGGATAAGGAAACGGAAAAAGCAATGCAGATTTAGTATAACAGTGATTATTCTGGTGAGCAGGGAGGAAGAAATACGTCCACTTGGGGGTTTAAACTCTCAGGACTGTTTTAAGTAGACCTGGTTAATATTAGAAAGTAATGAATGAAATTAAATGAAAGCCGTGATTATTTTGTGAGGAACTGTTTAACATAAGGAGTTACCTTTTCATTTTATTCAAAAATAGAAATTTTTTTAAAGATATAACAGGCATGATGTATTGGAAATGCATATTTACTTCAGTAATGTATAGTTGCATAAGTAATTTTTAAAGTTAGGTTATCCATTTGCAAGTATTTAGATATGTGTGTATGGGTATCTTGATGTATACTGAATTTTTTAATGTAACGTTTACAGTTGTACTGTCAAATTCTAAAATATTTCCAGTAAATATTTACATATATAACACAGTCCAGTACTGGTGTTAAAGCCAGTTTACTTGTCTTTTACCGCCATGCTGAAATCTTCACTTTAAGATAGCTACTCTTCTTAAGTTGGCATGTGTCGTTATGAGGGTTTCTGTTGCTGTGACAATATCATGAGCAAAAGCAGCTTGGGAAGGAAAGGATTTGTTTCATCTTCTTACTCTCAGATCACACTCCATTGCTAAGGGAAGTCAGGGAGGAACCCGAGGAACTGAGTTGGAGGCAGTAACCAAAGCAGAAGCCACGGAGGAATGCTGCTTACTTGCTTGCTGAATTTGCTTTCTTATACCATCCAGAACCACTTGCCCAGTGATGGCAACTCCACCAGTGACCTGGGCCCTCTCACATCAGTCATGAATCCAGAAATTTGCTCCACAGACTTGCCTCCTTACCAGTGTTGTGGAGGCATTTTCTCAGGGTTCCATCTTCCCAAATGTATCTAGGTTTGTGTTGACTTGACAAAAACCAACCAGCATAGTATGTATCTTTCTATATTTTTCTCTTTACAAGTGATGTATGTGTATATACATACATATATAGTATATGTGCATATATATACATATAAAGTGTGTATAGGTGTATATATACATATTATACCTATATACATATACCTATACTAGTAGAAGTTGTATAGTGCTGTTCTGTGATGCTTCCCTGCTGCCTGTTTGGATTTTTGTTTATTTCGGTTTGGTGTTTTAGCTTTGCCATTTAATAGAAAACAGGATATAACTCCTTGTTTTAACTGGTATATTGTTAGAGAAATTGAGAGTTATTTTACAGGCTTATTATCAATTATATTCCCTTTCATGAATTACCCATCCATGGTAATTCTTTGATTTTTGCTTATATTGCTTCCATCATTTAGAATTATTTTGATGTAGTTGAGTTTATCAGTATTCATTTATGGTTCTTTATTTTTATCTATTCAAATTACAAAGATCTTCTCTACCCCAAGGTCATGAGTATACTCATCAGAAAAATTCTTAAGTACTTGTCTATGTTAATCTGAATTTTGATAATATAGTTTTTCACATGAGTAGGTTTTATTTTTATTTCATAAATAGCTAGATTGTCACTTTGTAGTCTGTGGCATTTATTGAAATTTATCACTTTTTAATCATTGATTTGAAATGTCACCTTTACTACATATTAGACATGTTAACTTCACCATGTAATAAATCCCATCTTTCTATCCCTGGGCTCATGAGTCACTGTTAATGTCGTAAATCACAGCTTTAAATGGGATATTTTGGTAATACTGGAACAAGTATTTTTTCACTTTCTCTAATTGAGTCAACAGAAACAATCTGAATATCAAACAATAGGAAAATTATTTAAAAAAAACACATCACATTGTGTTCAAAGTATATATTGTACTATGCTCATAAGGAATGCTTTTATAAGTAAAGAAACATAATTAGTAAAGAGCCACAAGTGAATTCTGATAGCCATATCAAAATAAATCTAAAGGATCAGTGTAGACATTTATCTTTGATACATATTAAATAAAGTCACAGTCATATGTTTAACATGATCCTATTTGGGTAAAGCCAATTAAATTGTAACTTTGACACATTTAAGGGGATGATTTGGGCAACAACAGTGCATAAATTGGGTACTTAAAACCTGAAAGGGTTTGGAAACACTGTCAAGCCACACATAAGGGGAAGACTTCAAAAGTTACTTCCTAAGCAAAGCAAAGACTTGATTGTTTAAAGTGAAGCTGAATTGTGATCCTGGTGGAAAGTCCCTGGAGGTTAGCTCCCAGGTCCTAGAGTCATATGAAAGAAGGGAGATAAACTTAGAAGGAATTGTACATCAAACGGATGCCATGCAATTACACACTGACAGAAGGGGTCACTGCATTGCCTGCTGAAGGTAGACCCATAATAACTATATGAACCACACTCCTGCGGCTGGTTCACACAGTGAAAAATTTGTGACTAAGAGAACACTAGCACCCTTTAGGAATACAGTTCCAGTAAGTGTGAAGTTATAGTTAGTGACTATATTTAACTCACTGGGCAAATAGTATGGTTAAGTCAAATACAGGGCTTTGAGAAATAGATCATTTGTTAAAAACATGAGGACCTGAGTTCAAGTCCTAGCAATGTCTGCACTTGCAGTCCCAGCAGTAGAAAACTGTAGGGCTCACTGGAGAGTCAGTCCAGCCTAATTGGTGGGCTCTGGGCCAGGGAGAGACCCTGTCTCCGTGGTGGGGGACAGTGTTCTTAAGATGACACCAAAACAAAGGTTGTCCTCTGAGCTCCACAGGTTCTTGCACTCACATGTAAAAGTCAAATTTAGATTATCTGCTAGAGAAGCTGCAAGAAACAGACATTATGTAAGTATTGGTAAGAAATCATATATAGGTTAACATTTTTAGCTATTATGAAAATCAGTTGTCACAAAATTTTGTTTAGATATTTAGAATGTCATGATTATTAGTTAAAATGATATCTATAAATATACATAAATTAAGTAGATTAAAAGGAAAAGAAGAACTATGTGTAACATGTAGGAATTGGGGATTTCTTTGTGGTTACTCATGACTGTATTTAAATCTTTCTTCAACAGATTATATTGGTGACCCATTCTTCCCTCGAACTACACAGATTTTATTGGAGTATCAGCTAGGAAGATGGGTACCACGCCTCCGTGAACCACGGGATTTATATGGTGTCTCTTCTTCTGGTCCACTGAGCCCAACACGGTGGCCATACCACTGTGAGGTCATTGATGAAAAAGTCCAGCATATTGGTATGTTTTTAGAGGTCTTGGGGGTTCAGAATTAGCAAACTTATTTTATCATCTTGATATTAATGAAGAAACTAATGATGTTAACAGCTGCATTCCAGAAGTATAACATAAGCTATGTACATAAATAAAAATTTCCTATTTGCTATGCAGGTTTAAAAGTAGAATTAATTTTAAAATGTAGTCTACTTAAAGCTTATCAAGAATATTTTACTATATTTTTACACAAAGTCACCCAAATCTGGTATGCATTTTATACTTATGGACATCACAGTTCAGACTATTCTCATTTCACTGTGCTTAAATAGAAGGATTTAAAATGTATGCCAGAACTGGCACAGTGATACACAGCACATAGGAGGCTGAGGCAGAGGATTGCAAGTTCAAGGCCACCCTGGGCTGTATATCCCCAGATCCTATTTCAAATAAACAAATGTCCCAGATCTATACCAGCTTTGAATAATTCCAAAAGATGTGATACCATAGTCAGCCATGCTGGGCTTCTGCCAGTGTCATAGTAGTCTCTCATCCTGGCTCCCAGTCTCCTCTTCTCACTGTATCTTTGCTGATGCTTGTCTTGTTGCTGTTTCTGTTCCTCTTTGATTGTCTAACTCCTTAAACCATTTTGTCTTTGCCTTTTTTCTTTCCCACTTTCTGTTTCTTTTCTTCAGTAGATAGGGATGAACTATAGAAGACTTGTCTAAAGTGTATTTTTTTTGTTTCTTTATGTGTGCATTCCCAAATTCATTTTCTACTGTCCTAGAAAGAGCTCATAGACTTAATGTCCATAGTCAATAACAATGAAATAAATGCAGTCAAAAAAATCCTCATTGCCCTACAACTTCCCACTGCTGTTTTTCTGTTGTTGATTGTAAAGTCCACATGTGCTATTACCATGTAGAAATCTAATAAAATATTTGTGAATGGATAAAATTAAAAGCTGTCTGTACTTACTACAGTGCCTACTAAAGTTAAATGCCACTCAGGAGTTTGTTTGTTTTAGTTTTTTTTTTTTTTCAACACGGGGATTCTCTGTGTAGCCCTCGCTATCCTGGAATTCGATCTGTAGACCAAACTGACCTCAAAGTCAGAACTCAGAGAGAGAGAGAGCCTGTAAGTAGAGTTTTTCTGGGTCTCGATAGCCGTCCCTCAAATAACCACACAGGAACTTACTATTAATTGTAAGTGCTCAGCCAATAGCTTAGGCTTGTCTCCATCCAGATCTTAGAACTTAAACTAACCCATCTCTCTTTCTCTATGTGCTGTCCCAAGGTTCATTTACCTCATCTGCGAAATTCCCATGTTGCTTCTTCTGCATCTGGCTTGCGACTTTCCAGATGCCACCCTTCTTCCCAGCATTCTCTCTGCCCCCAAAATCCTGTCTAGCTGTCAACCAATCAACTTTTATTAACAATGAGATCAACACATTGTGAAAACATTGTGTACAGAAGGATTATTCTACAGCATTTCCCCTCTTTTTGTTTAATTAAAAAGGAAGGTTTTAACCTTAATATAGTTAAACTATATATAACAAAAACAGGTATCAAGTAAGAATTACAATTAACAATATCCAGTCTATTTATATTTGGCAAAATTAGAGAAAATACTCTTATCTAAATGTTGAGTCTAAAGTTTTATACCTGATTTACCTTTTAACAAAACTAAAGAAAGCTATAAGTTTAACTGTTTAGTCTTTAACTCAATCAAAGACACAAAAGGATGTGATGTTACCCAGTGATAGGTATATCTGGCTGTAAAATATTTTGAGATTATTAGTTGGTTTTGGATTAAAGTAGATTCAATAATCTGCCCTTTTTTTCATATTATTCCTATATAATGTCCCCCTTTTTTCCTTAAAAAATAAATCTTTGAATTTAACTCTTATTTAGCTTTTTTCTGACTATAACCAATAACAACTTGTAACTAGCCCTCCTTAAATGATAACAAACATCCATAACCCATCTTTCTGGAATGTAGGTGTTGTTTTCTCTAGACTGCTTCCTGGTGTCAGGGGCATTGGCATTCTTGGGGACCCTGAGAAAATTCAGGATAATGGTTAAGTGTTAGCTGGAGTAGTCTATGGGGCTGGACCATCTCAGCCAGCAGCCTTAAAACTATTCTGGATACAAAACTCTGAGGAGACTGCAACAGAGGCATTTTGAGATCTTGGATCCACCTGGGCCATTTGTTTTTTCATTGTGTCTGGTCCCCTTACTCTCAAAATATATAAACTTTTAAAGGTAATATATCTGTATTAGTACAAGTATAAACTGTGCACAAATTAGTCAAAGGTTTTTTTTTTGTTTTCTGTTTGAGTAGGTAAAATATGTGTTATGCATTTTGTAGGGTTTTTTTTTTTAGGTTTATTTGTAGCCAGGATTTTTGAGGGGAGGGTGTCTTCCTGATCATACCTGATACATATCAACCTAGAATAAATCGACAGCTTCTCATTTCCAATAGAAATAAAGCATAACCTCTTCCCCAAAGTAACATATCTTTTAACTTCCATTTTGAAGTCAACATTCTTAAAATATATGTGTTGGTTTAATTCATCAGCTTTCATAATCCAATGTGTAGATCCTTTATGAGCAATCAGAAAATCTAAGGACAATACAATAACATACAGAATCCAGATTCTCTGTATTTCCCATGTTGACATGGCTTATTATATATTTTTAACTTTTTATTGTACTTTACTCTGTTTAAGGACTTTTATTTTTGAACTATTTTTATTTTTTTCTAAATATTTATTTATTTATTATGTATACAATATTCTGTCTGTGTGTATGCCTGCAGGCCAGAAGAGGGCACCAGACCCCATTACAGATGGTTGTGAGCCACCATGTGGTTGCTGGGAATTGAACTCAGGACCTCTGGAAGAGCAGGCAATGCCCTTAACCTCTGAGCCATCTCTCCAGCCCTTGAACTATTTTTTAATCAATGACTGTATATATATTTTCTCTTCTCTCTCCCAAACCTGTGTATATTTTTAAATACACTGTAACCCATTTAGAGTTTTTTCCATCTTGATATGTCTTTGCTGAGCATCTGTAGTGTTCTTTGATTGCATGAGGCAAATCTTAAACTACTGTGTTACCTGCCCCCTGGTGTATCTTACTTGATGCATGGCAGTAGTGCATGGCAGCTGGCAGCTGACTCCTCCCAGAGGCAGCTGCCAGGAGATGCGTCTCTGTACTATAGCTGGCATGAGAGACTTGAGACTAGGAAGCTGCATTTGGCTCCATTTTTGTGTGTTTAGAACCTTGGTCTCATTTGTTTGGTTGGTTTGGTTTTTTTGAGACAGGGTTTCTCTATAACTTTGGAGCCTGTCCTGGAACTTGCTCTGTAGACAAGCTGACCTTGAACTCACAGAGATCCCTCTGCCTCTGCATCCCAGGTGCTAGGATTAAAGCCATGTGCCACCATCACCACCCATCTGTTTAGAACCCTTTTTAAGCTTTCTCAGGTTTTATGTGGATCTATATGGCCCGACAGTGGGTGCCATTTGAAGGTGGAGTTTTTCTTTGTCCTGGCAGCCACTCCCAGAAAACCTACTCAGAGACATTATTAATTATAAATACTCAGCCAATAGCTTAGGCTTATCTCCATCCAGCTCTTAGAACTTAAATTAACCCATTTCTATTAATCTGTATGCTGCCCCAAGGCTCATTTACCTCTTCTACGAAATTCCCATGTTGCTGCTTCTACATATGGCTCAACACTCCTTAGACTCCACCTTTCTTCCTAGCATTCTCTTTGCCCTGAAAATCCTGCCTAGTTTTTGGCCAATCAGCTTTTTATTAACAATAAGAACAACACATTTTCACAGTGTACTGAAGGATTATTCCACAGCATCTGTTGTCCCTGCATCCCAAGTACTGGAATTAAAGGTATGCATCACCACAATCCGGCAAGGAGTTCTTAAAAGCTAAATTTTATTCTTACATTATCTGGTTTTAGATAGATAGGTATCATAGCAAGATAGGCAGTCAACAGATAGAGGACATAGAGAAGCAAAAAGGATAGTGGCTTTGCTTATAGAAAAGAAAGCCAAATTTTTTCTTCTCTCTCCCAAACCTATCTATATTTTTAAACACATTGTAACAAATTTAGAGGTTTTTTCCATCTTGACTTCCAAATTTTAGGTCTAGAAATACACTAAGAATTCATGCTTACCACTATAAGCACCATTTATTTACAGAGATGACTTTAGTGTCTATTTTCCATGGTTTAAGTCTCTCCTGTTGACCACCACAACACACTAAATCTTAACTCTTCCTCAAGTCCTTCTTATGTCTTGCTTTTGTTTCATAATCTTTTTGTAGCTGTGTGAGTAAGAAGGGAATTGGAGCCGAGAAGGAACAGCCTTCCTGCTTTTCCTGTGGCCTCTGTCTATGTTCTCTTCTGTGGGAGTGGTAAGAAACCCAAAGGAGAGAAGAAAGTAAATCCCCAGCACATCACTGATTTCCAGCTTGCCCCTGCCCCATGCTGGTTCCGTTTAGTAAATCTCTCTCCCCCTAGCTGGACAACCCACTTTCCCATCCTTGGTGCATCCTGTTCTTATGATTATAGCACTTAATTTCCAACCTTCATTTGCCCTTGGTGATTAGATTAACATCAGTGCCTCGGGATGGAAAAGAGTCTCTGCACCTGGTTACCTGATACACTCCCAGTTTTGTGCTTTCGGGTTAGAGCAGTTCTGTTTCTGGCTTCTACTAATTTCAAATATATTTTCATACCAAACTCCCGTTTTTTAAGAATAGTTCGATTCACTAGTGCCATTTTTCAGGCGTCTTACATGGCAAATAGACTTTGAGCTTTATGAGCCCAACTTCCACTATAAATGAAGATGCAAACACTCCATGATGTAGGTCAGATGCAGCCGTTCTCAGCATTGGTTTCCCAAGGTCCCTGGAGTAATGATGGAAGCTTCACAGCTACTAGTGACACGCTTCGTGCATGGTAGACTCATACAGGGCGAGAGCTTTGTTTGGGGCTGTGCC